CAACAGAAAAATTTTCCATTGGAAAATGCCGTTTTGTCAGAACTGAAAAAATGTCAATTTTGATGAAATTTCTTCAGATAACGTGGAAATGTTTTGTTTTGACATTTTGATTTTTTTTTGTTTTGAAATGCATTTTGTATTAAAAAAAATAAAATTGAAATGGAAACGAAACGCTTTGAATGATCCAAAACAATTTTTTTTAAATAAAATTTGTTTTGTAGCAAATTTTGAAATTTGACATTTCATTCCCATTCAGAATCAAAAGAAATTTAAATATTGTGGAATTTCCCACAAACCACAAATTCTGGATCTTGCACTGCTGCTCTTCTTAGGGCTCCCAGCTGAGTCCTGCCAAGTTAGCTACCCAGAGCCTAACAATTCATAGTGTAGTTCCAAAAAAATAAATAAATAAATCTAGAAATATTTCATTTTCCACACTTAAATTTGGATTCTGATACTTTATATCAGTTATGGGAGTCCACTAAACTGAATTATATGTTGCTCCTGCTTTATTTTATTTTTTTTGTCCTGAAGAGTCAAAAAAATTTTAGACATTTCTATTTGGACAGTTCTGTCTAATGCAGTAAATAAGGTGAGAGGTGTTTCAATTTAAAACTGAGTTTCATGCACTCTCGCTAAAATTGACAAAAACGATCAGATCAGCTTGAAAACTGATTGGCCAACTGAGTTGTTTGTTGTGGGGGAAATTGGAAGCAGGGCCGGCTCCGGCTTTTTTGCCGCCCCAGGCAAAAAGGCCTCCGGCCGCCTCCCCCCCTTCCCCCCCAGTGCGGCAGGGGAGGGCGTGGGGGGAGGGCGGCTGGAGCCCCAGGGGGAGGGCGGCGAGCCCCGACCGGGGCTCCGCTCTCCCCGGCAGCCGGGGGGAGGGCGCCAGGGGGGAGGGCAGCCGGAGCCCTGGGAGGAGGGCGGAGTGCCCGTCCGGGGCTCCGCTCTCCCCGGCGGCCGGGGGGAGGGTGCCAGGGGGGAGGGCAGCCGGAGCCCTGGGAGGAGGGCGGCGAGCCCGGCCGTGGCCCCGCTCTCCCCGGTGGCCGGAGCCAGAGCACCGCACCGCCCCCCTCCAGGTGCCGCCCCAAGCACAAGCTTGATGGGCTGGTGCCTGGAGCCGGCCCTGATTGGAAGTCATTTCAACAAAGGGTTCCTGAGATACAATAGCCTAAAATGAGCTGTTCTCAAGTTTCCCCCACAACAACAAACTCAATTGGCCAATCAATTTTCAAGCCGATCTGATGGTTTTTGTCAATTTTAGAGAGAGTGCATGAAACTCGGTTTTAAATTGAAACAGCTCTCACCTTATTTACTGCATTAGACAGAAGTCCAGAAACTGAGACATCCTAAACCACACTGTTAAGTGCTTACTAATGTGGGATTAATTTTCTACCCATCAAAAATTAATCAAATCATGCTGCAACTAAGCATAAAATGTAAACCCAAACACGAGTCACATTTCTACAGAGGTCTGTAATTATCAACATAAAATAAAGTCCTTCTCTGCTAATATAGGGGGATTTTTTTTAAGTGTGCGAACTGCAGTTGCTTCAGTGCCCAGTTGTTTATTTTGCTCAGCAATTAGTTCAATTAGAAGTGCACATATTAATGAATCATATGAAATCCAGCAGAGGTAAAGTAAAGCCTGCTGCCTTCAGTTTGGCTGATGGAAGCATTGCTTAAACAACTGTACTACTCTTTGTTTTGTAGCCATTTTAAGGAGGATTATCACAGGGAACACCGTGCCCTTCAGAACAGCCACAAAAAGGCTAAAAAGACATTCCTGCTTGGTCTAATTGTGAGTCTGTTTATCTAGACCACCCACCCCAAGTGGAATGAAGATCCATGACTGCCCAAGTGTCTTAATAAACTGGCATTTGTGGGGACAGTTTTCCACTCTAGGTTAGCTAAAGGTAATGTCTTCTTCCAGATTCCCATGATTGTCAAATAACTTTAAGTACAATATTAAATACTATACTTCCAAGCCAAAATAAACTGAGCAATTTAAATGCATGTTACTCAATATGGACATGATCCTTCCTCACTGAAGTCAATGTTTATTTTGCCATGGACTTTAATGGCAGTAGGGTCAAGTGAGATTCTTATTTGACATACTAGCTTCACAAGAAAAAGGCTCCAGTCTTTTACATTCTACCAGTGATAGTTTTCATTTTTTCAGATATTTTCCCATTATCTGCCACAGTAAATATAACTGTAGCATTATTACTGATGCTAGAGTAAACACCTAATATATGTTGCGCACGCATTTGCTGTATAATGAATCAAAGTGACATACCTACCTATCTTTCCCCTTCATATATTCTAATCCCATAATAGAATTTTTTTATGAGTTGCAAAGGAAAGTGGTCAAGTTATAAAAATAGCTTATTCATAAAAACATATCAAATATCTGATCAAGAAAAGATGTTTTGAAGGTCACTGAGACCCGTTAAAAAAATGAAGCTTTCAGACTTGTGAAATAATCTGCTAGGCAAATTTGAACAGAGTCCCTCAAAGACATTCTTTCAGTAGGTTATATCTTACAATTCATACTTTTTTCTATATTTTTCTTCAAAAAATCAACAAAGTTAAAAAAACACAATTTAAGTGTTATGTTCAAGAGTTTATAATTTGACTCATTTGGTGGTCCTTATGATCTTTGGCACCCCCTCACCGGCTAGCCTGCTTGTTGATTTCTTGCTATGCCCTTTGGCCAGGTCTCTGGTTGTCCTTTCCCCAGTTGGGGTGTTAAAGAGTCCAATACTTCCAGAGGCCAGTGGCCCTAGATGAGGGGCACACAGTCCTTGGGCCCTTCAGGTATGGCTCACTTGTTCAAGGCCTTAATAAACCCCCCTTGCTGAGCTTGGTGGGAACCAGGTCCACCGACTATCTTGGGTTCCAGGTCAGGGACACTGTACAAAATGGTTGGTAACAAGCTCTCACAAACCACTTATTTTTTTCCTGGCCTACTTCCTACAGTGCCTGTCCTGCAAGCTGTTCCTCAGGGTTACCCTGTGGTCCTGTCCCCAGTCGCCTGGGCAGCTTCTCATCAGAACTATTGCTGAAGTCTCCTGATCTCAGTGGCTCCTCAGCTTCTCTAACAGCCACCCACCCTTCTGCTCTGCAATCCTTTAATCTCTGCAGTTTTTGTGAGCCCCCCAGTCAGGCCCAGCTGAGCAGGCAGTCTCCCTATTAACCCTTTAGCAGCTGAGACAGCACAGGGTCTGTACACCCCAGACAGACCCATAATGCCAAAATAGCAGGGGCCTTTTCTCCACCACCTTGCATCTTGTATAGTCTTTTACACTTGTGCAAACACTACCTGATTTCTGATTTCAGGGAATTTTGTGCTGACTCAACTAGGGTGACCAGACGTCCCGATTTTATCAGGACTGTCCCGATATTTGCTTATTTGTCCCACGTCCTGACCTACCTTCGGTCGGGACGCGAACTGTCCCGATATTTTGCCTCCGCTCACAGGCGGAGCAGAGCCCGGAGGGGGCTCGCGGCCCCCCCGCCCTGACTCCGCCCCTTCCTTCCCCCATTGGATCCCTCCCCAAATCCCCACCCTGGTCCCGCCTCTTCCCAAAGCACGCCGCATTCCTCCTCCTCCTCCCCACTCCCTCCCAGGCTTGCGCTGATCAGCTGTATGGGGGCGCAAGCACTGGAGGGAAGGGGGAGGTGGAGACGGAGTGGAGGCATGCTAGTGCGGGGTGGGCGGGGCGTAGAGCTCCGGAGGCCGTTTTTTTTTTTTGCTCCCCCCCCCCCCTTTTTTTTTTTTTTTTCCCCCCCCCCCCCCCCCCCCGCATCCCGATATTTCACCTGTGTGATCTGGTCACCCTACTTTCAACACACAAGTGTAAATGACAATACAAGGTGAAAGGCCATGGAGAATCAGGCCTTTGAAGTCTGTCACCTATCAAAAGAATTTAGGACCCTCAACACTGTAAACAGTTCTCAAAGATCTAGGACATACACCATTCCAATACATATTAGGCAACATTCTTGAAACCCACTTTTTTCTTGGCATTTATCTCGGAATTGGTATAACAAACAAACAAAAAAACACCCTAACCTGTAAAAACATAGGAGCACTGTGGGGTATTGAAAACCATGTTAAAACTGTAATCTATCACTTTCAATTCTCTGTGGTTTTCCTTGTCCTGCTTACAGGCAGGCTGTTCTGTAGGGAAGTGGGCAATCAGAGTCAATTGTTCTGCAGACAGCCTGCCAAAAGTAAGTTGGGGTGAGTTGCGCCTCTCTGTTTTAGGGAACAGCTGGCTTTCTCTCTCTGTTTTGGGGTTCTTGTGTGTTATCCTTCTGTATTCTAACAAATAAAGTAGTGCTACTTTACAACCAGTAAGAGTATTTTATGTTTTTCTCTGCATGTATGCCAGAAAACACAACAGCAGGTTTTTCTGACCAGGTAAATCCTAACCACCAATTTCAACTTCATTTTGTTTGTTAGTTTATTTTATTGACTATAAAAGGGGTGGGGAGGATAAAGCCAGGTAAGGAAGGAAGCCTTAGATCTATATCCATAATCTAAAAAAAAATAATAATTAAAAAAAAAACCACCACACACACAACCCTACATGAAAGAAAATGGTATTCAAATTCAAGAATCTTAAAGTCAATGACAGCTGTGGGTATTCAAAAGTCAGGCCTCTTATTTAAATAACTAGCTTTGGGCATCCCGTTTTGAAAGTCTTAACCTAAGTAAATGAGAGGAAGAGGCAGGCTGTGAGAAAGTTATATATCAACACTGTCTGCATTAGTTATATTAGTTAGGTAAATTAATAAGCATTAAGCAAAAGCTGCAATGAGAGGGTGATTTATTTATTTTTGCTCATTGTTAGTGATTTGTTGACTTAATAGATTCCATAGATGTCCAGGGACCATTAATGGGTAATGGCAACACAACGTAGTGGAAACCCCACAGCTAAAGCGTTATTTTTTTTCTTTAGTAGCTTGTCATTATTTTTAAAAATGATTACCTGACAACGTGTATCACAGTATCTGGCAATTTTGCACTGAGAGCATCTAAGCAGCCGTTCATTCCTGTAAAAAACGTCCAGTATTAGTTATGTAGGAAAAATAAAAATATTTCCAAATATCTGAAGCAAAAAGGAGCCACAAAAAGAACAAATTGCTTGACACACATGTATTTATTTATTTTTACATACAAAGTCAAGGCAAGAACCCAAGGGCTAGAGATTCTAATTTCCTTACTCATATTGAACAGTACCTTACCCTATGAATAGTTTGTTTATTTACTAGAGTCAATGGGGCTGCTTGTGTGTTAACAGTAAGATTATTGGAGTCTAGACTAAAGAAGAGTCTCCCTATTCCTGAGATAATAAAACAGGAATCATTTGTTTTTCTTGCTTTGCTACCATACTGTCAAGGAATTAGATTTTCTGGTTAATGCAACAGAATCTCAGACTATGGTGCAGCACAGCTGGATGTAGTCGTCTTTGGAGCCCAGCAACGTGATAATATGTTGCAAGGCAGAATTCAGGTCCCCATTACCTGTTCATTACCTGTCTTAAGCAAGATTCTTGCTGTGAATCTGCAGTTGTGACACTGAGTTATTTGCAATGTGAAGTTGACCTGCTAGTGGAAATTTATGCCTTAAAAAAAAAGAAGATTGCCTGTGATTGGTAAACAATGTGACTAAAGCAAAAACTCCATCTGAAAAAGACTATTGGGGGTGCAAGGGGAGAGATAAGAAGTTTGAACCAGAGATATGTATGAACATTTTAATTATGATTCTACAAAGTGCCTCCTGGCTTGAGTGAGATTCCCTACTGCTGGCTTAATTTAAGTCATATGACAAGCTGAGAACTTGACTTGAGGAGAAAATATAATTTACTAATAAAAGTTTTGTAAATTATTACATGGTGAGGAAATATTTAGCATGAAATTATGCAGAAAATTAATCAAATTTACATGTCATAAATCAAATTCTGCTCTCAGCTGCACTGGCATTAGGATATGCATTGCAGTATCATTCTTGCCAATTTCTTAGCTGTCACAGCACCAGCAAAAAGCCCAAGGTTTTAACTTTATATTTAAAAACAAAGTTAATCATATGCTTTCCCAGCTTATATTGACACTGAGAATATGGTGCTTGCTCTTATAAACAGAAGACTCAAGAGAGAAGAGACTAAATTAAGGACATACTAGCTAGTCAGACTGTATGATTGTCCTTCCTACATTGTGAAAATACTCCTACTAATAGACAGCTGGACACATTTCTTACACTAATAAACTACAGACTTATGCATAAAGGCACATAGCCAGTCTGACAGATGTTTAGGTTTGACAACCACTATACACAACATTAATTATTATATTAATACATTTTTGCATTCCTATAGTGCCTTCCATTTGAAGAGCTGAAAATGGATTACAAACATCAAGAGTACAGTATGTCTACACTGCAAGTTAAGGGGTGATCATAGCATTGGTAGGCATACCGCACTAGCTTTAATCTACCTTGAACAAATAACAATGGCAGTGTAGAGGTGGTGGCATGGGCTTCAGCACAGGCTAGCAATCAGAGTACTCCAGACTCCCTGTAGGGCTTGTACTCTGGATAGCTAGCCTGTGGTGCAGCCTGTACTGCCACACCTACGGTGTTATTGTTACCCAGGTTAGCTATATTAAAGCTAGCATGAGTATACCTACCCGTGCTGCAATCACCCCTTTGCTTGCAGTGTAGTCACACCCTAAATAACCTTTGCAAGACATGTGAGGCAGGTAACTGTCCCAATTTTACAGATGACAAAAGGAAGGCAGAGGGAAAGAGTAAAGTGATTTGCTCACGTTTATACCTTAAGGCTCAGACCCTGTAAGAATCCTATTGTTTTTAAAGGGATTTTATGGGGGCATAAGTGTCTGCCATGTGGATCACTTTGCCAGCTCAGACCTTAAATCAATAGCACAGCTGTCAATAGAAACTAGACATGAAATGCTGGACCTTCTGAACTCAAAGAATTTTGTCATTGACCTCAATAGGGTTAGAATTTCACAGTAGGTCTTCTGATATCCAATCTGGTACTTCTGATTTCCAATCAGTTACTTAGACCACAGAACCATTCTTCTTTCCTTTATTTAAATCAATATACACTCAGTTACCCCCAACTTTTAGTCCCTGTGCTCACTCTAAATTCACAGCAAATGCCTTGAAGAGTCATATGTCCAAATAAAGTGAGATGGCACCAACTTGGTCACAAACCTTAACCAATAATAACTTCTAAGCAATGAATTTGGTCCATTGATTCCATTAATTTAATTTATGGCTAAGAATCTGTAGCTATCCAGAACAACATAATAAATACAGAATGCCAAATAAAATAGATCCCTCTTGAACACAGACTAAGTCCTTTGTTTCACATGTGGAATTCTCACTGGTGTAAATTCTGTACAAAGTTATGGTATCAATGTGCACTAAAATGCACCAGTATCGGCATATTTAAACTCATCGCTGATTTAACTTTGGCTTTTTTAAGATTCTTATAAGTGATGCGGAGAAAATAGGTAATGTCAAACATACGCTAAATATAAGAGGAATTAAAATATAGCCATGTACTTATGTGGAAATAAAGAAATACAAGTTAAGTTATGTAATATGCAGAAATATTTAGAGAGAATTCATGATGGTGAACTGTGGTATAAATGTATGAATTTGGGTTTCCATTATTATTTAAATGGAGTGAAGCCAATGATTTCAATATACAGTGTATAAAAGTACATATGATGGTGTGAAGCAGCTTAAAAATTTTATCTACATCAGGTCAAATAACTGCATGGGTCACAAGTTGTAATGCCACGAATGAATCAGATGGATCATTCCAAACGAGTGCCAATCTTTGCGCATTAGCTTTCTTATTCTCTAACCCCTTTATAATTGAACTCATGATACCTTACAGAATATGTTGTGTGGTGTGCTGAAAACCATACAACTAGCAGAAAGAAAGTATTTTAGAAATGTCTGAGATTAAAATCTTGTTATTGCTACTGTCTTTTACCCTATCTACAAAAGTAAGGGCCTTGGTATCATGAGTTCAACTAGAAAGGGCTTGGAGAGTAAAAAAACTAATAATTTTTAAAATCTTCTAAATAGTACCTAAAAATCTTTCCCATACAAAACAATGTTGTGATTTTAGAATCCAATGTCTGGGGACAATCCAAAGCTAGAATCAAGTGCTGGAAATCTCCCCTCTCCAATTGTATAAAGCTCTCATTTCTAGGGCCCAGAAATATAAGAACTCTAACAAAGCCATTGGTGAAGAACTGAATATTTCTCATTCTGGATTTGGACCTCAGATCAGTATAATGTAGGGGGAAAGAATTAAACATTTTTGAGGTAGGTTTATTTAGTATGAAAAGAAAAGGACAAAATGATTGCTCTTTGGAGCTGCTCAGATATCTGAATGTCAGAAATAGTCCAGGTGGCAACAATTAATGGACGCGCACACGCACGCCCAAAATTATATCCATCTGGACTAGTTCTGAGCCATACATTTTGTAATACTGATCAACATGTTCTGTCAGGGATCCAGGATAAATCTTCAGGAAATCTACCCTTTCTTTCTAAAAATGGGGCAAATCCTCCATATTTATTTTAATTATGTACATTAATGAGACATTTTCTCCAGATCTTTCAAATCACAGGCAGCACACACTACAAAAAATTCTATTTCCTGGGTCATCAACATGTTATCGTGGAAGTCAGCCATACACAACAGATTCATCATGCTCAACACTATCTCTTGAAAATGTGTATGGTAACATAGAATGATATAGAAAAGTAGAGATCTGTGAACATCATTTTCTATATTATCATATAAAATTCTTGAGATTGTCACTTTCTGGAGTTTCCCCAAGTTGTTCTGCATAGTTGCATCATTACAAGTTTTGCAGGAATAGAAGCAGATCACAGGGCCTTTAGGTCTTCCTTATTTTGGATTATGGAAATGAGGAACTCTGTATACAATAGGTAAGAGCCTCTATTGAACTTCTCTCTTTAGTCATTTAAATAATATTGTTTGACACAGTGTGATCAGGCAAACATTTTGTAAACACTCACATTTAATTCTATCCATGCAAGTTCTACCAGGCGCTACTTAACTAAAATCTCTGTGCATCATTTGAAAGTTAACCCCTAATTCAGCCAGGTGCAGAAGGGTTGAGCAAAGAAAGTTTTTGTGCAGACCTTCTGTGCTAGGGTAAATTTCACCCTACCAGAATGATGATGAACTAGTATTTACATTAGGCAACATATCTATAGTTACAATAGCTGAAGTGAAACAAGATCTTAAAGTACCAAAAAGTAATACTCAAATCCATTATCCACCGCAAATATGACCTTCAAGAGCCATGATTTATATGAATGCATCCCTTAGCAATTTAAGAACAGATCCATATTTTAGGTCTTGCATCTGTACTATTTAACTCACAGCCCTGTAATGTATGACCTTGACATACTGTTGCAATATCTTCTTTCAGTATTTTATTTTCTTCCTAAAAGATGCAAAGACTTGCTGAAATAACTGAAGTTAAGTACAACAAATATTTGATTCTGCCATCTGAAAAACGCACATAGCTTGGATCTGACAGCAAGGTGCTAAGCTCCTTCAACTCCCACTGAAACCAATGGGAGACAACAGTGTTCAGCACCTGGCAGGATTGGATCCCTTTTTTACCAACATTTAACAATGAAGTGGTAACAAAGATACAGAACATTACTTCAAGTTTATTTCCAACATCTGACACTAGCAACCAAAGTATTTGAAGAATCTGATTCCCTACTGGTACTGTATAATGAATGAAATATCCATTCATCATCTTCCTCCCCACTCTCATCCCCCAAATGATGAGCAGATTTAGGATGTTTGGTGCAGTTGCATGAACTGACAAAACTGCTGCATTTTACTTCTCTCCCAACTCCCTCCCAAACCTCCATCTGTAGGATTTATGGCATCAATTAATATTCTGACATGGAATTTTACAAAAGTAAACAGTATGATTTAAAGTACTTAATCTGAAATTGA